CTGCCTGTTAGGAAAATGGTGCTTTTTAGCTTCGCAGAGCACTGAGAGATAACTGAAGGCCAGGGGCAGCAGTGAATCAGGTAGAGAGTCAAAGGGAGGATACTGCAGTCCTCACTCCCTGCGTGTTTTAAGCTCTAGCTCAGGAAAGCACTGAAGTGTGAGGAAAAAGAGCAGGTATCTAAACGCTTTCCAGAATCAGGACCTTAACAGGACATTGCATCATTTGGATTAAGCGTTGCTAAAGTCCCCATGTCTATCAGACTTCTGTGTCATGCTCACAGTAAGGGAGGCCTCAGCAAGACCTAACTTTAGCAATGGGAGAGAACCAGGGCAGTGCCAAGCCACAGCTACAGTTTGGCCAAAGCTCCTTGGGGCACAACCTATCTTACGAAGCTGTTCTCTAAGCAACTTCAAATGGGTAATAGATTAATCTTTGCCAGACTAGGTGGGAGGGAGTGCCATTTTCCTTCTCCTTAGGAACTGTTTTGATTGCCTTGATCTGTCCTTTGGAGTTGAACATGAAGCTCTGAAGTGTACTTTGAACATACAAAAGTGATCTGGTTCCCTGACCTGTTGCCGCTGTGCTTGTCCAGGTTGAACTGCTGCATCTGGGAGAGGGTTTTGGTATATCTGCAGGCTCTCATAATAATAAACATGCTGTTTCCCAGTCCTGCAGACCACAGTTAAGCATTAAACTGTTGTGGTTTTTTTAAAGCCTAAGTTCATAGGGGTTGCTTGCTATGTGAGCAGCGTTTAGAAGCCTGCAACTGGCTTATCAAACTGATTTTTCAACTGTGCATGTGACAGCTGGCAGAAATACTGATGGCTTATTGATAAACTGCTCCAAGGTCCAGATCAGCTTCACTGGAATGCTCTGATTCAAGTTCTACAGATAAATGCTTTTATAGAGTATTTTTCTTTGGCCAGCTTACAGTAATTCAACAGAGATGTTTAATTACCATATGTCTCTGTAAGGAGCAGATATCTCAGCACATACTTGTGTCCAGATAAGTGTCTCACTTTCACTTTATTACCAAGCTAGCTAACCGATAGGAGACTTTCCATAGGTTTTTCTCCCATTCAACTTGTTGTTACATTTGAGAGTGCCTCAGATTTGGTCCACGTGGAAACAAAAGGCGAGAGAAAGGGAAATGTTATTTGATGGCTCAGAAGTTTCCAATTTCTGTTCCATTGCATAGGTACAATGCTGTGAACGAGGTGCGCTCAATAAATAACATTTCAGCTGGGAGCCTGCAGGCCAGGTCTCTCCTGCGGCATGCATCCCTTCAGCCCACGAGTTTGTTCTCCCTACCTCCTCAGCCCCCAATGCCTCCTCCTGCCTGCCATGCTCATCCAAAAACTGGACTGGCACCTGCCACTTGTAGAGTGGGAGTGCGAGAGTGCCCCAGTCCCACAGTGGGCAGCAGAGCCTGCCCAGCCACACGTGCAGAGGAGGAAGGGACCTGGCTGTGCCACCTCCCAGATGAACGCCCTGCAACAGCAAAGCTGCTGGAGGAGGAAAAGGCAACGCCACCATCTCCTTTGATGGCGGTGTTTTAAAAGAAAGCTGTGGTGGCTACTGTAGTTTGCACAGAGCTCTGCTTTGGTGGGGTGTGCTGGGAGTGACAACTGGCTTGAGTCACTCTGGAGAGAAGGGATGTTCCTAGGTTATGGATGTTGAATAATCTTAGATATGAGATAAGCACCAGTTCTACTGATGCCAATGCATTTCTGCATATCGCTAGAGGCAGCTGATGTCGTATAAGGGTCATAGCTAAAATGCAAAGTTTAGGTGCTCTCTGACTTATGTTGGGAATTCCAGGTTTCCACTCTCCCTAAGTATCATGTTAGATATTTCCCTTTTTCTGGATCTGCGCTTACGAATGTAACATGGGGCTGTGGATTCCCCTACGTGGTCAGACACACAAAGCTGTGCACGAGCCCTGTGTGATTTGTGAGTCTCTGCTGAACAGAGCCTTGCCTTTGTGCATTGTTATTAATGGGGATGTCGGTATTGCTAATCGCACAAGGATTTTATGAGGATCAGCACATAAATAAGGAGTAGCAGTACTATGGCAATATGGGACCTGTGCTATATATGTAGAAAACGTTTTGATTTTGCTGTCTGCTTTCACCATTAGCTGCTCCTGTACTCCAGAAACCTATGGGCCTCACTGTGCCTTGAAATTCGATGACTGCCAGGGAGGATCTGAGACGCTCTGTGAGCATGGCATCTGCGTAGATGCAGAGAGGGATCAGCCTAACATGGTAAGGAACAATGTTTACAGCTCCTCATACAGCACAGCAAGAGGAATGAATAATACCGAGTACCGCAAAGCTATGTAGCAAACACTGCTGCTGAAAGACAGCAAGAAGTGCCACCGTACAAAACAGCCTAACCTCTAACTGTCCTCCTAAGGACAGCAGAAAGAACTGAAAATGCCTTGTGTCTTGTTAGAGGCATTGTCACAGCATCAGATCTACTATTACATCCATAGGGGGCTTCAGAATATTCTTTGAATATTCAAACTCTGATGAAAAACACAATATTCTTTGTGTTCATTTTTTGGGGATTTCAGTACTAAGTTGCTACAATATTTTTATTACCTAAAAGATTGAGAAAGACAAACATAATGAACTATGGGATATTATTACTAGTGGCCTGGGAGCCACCAATGTTGCATAGCTGCTGCATGGCTGCTGCTTGTATTTGGTGCTCTGCACTCTCACTTTGACTCAGTCTCTGTTCGGGTTTGGGCCTGGTCTCTCCAGGTGTCTGCACCGGGTGGATGCTGGTGCACTCTTGAATGGCCCCCTGGAGCAAGCCAGCTAATTCTTTTTGGGAGAAAATCTGGGTATGCGGTGTATACTCCAAGGAGATGTGTGAAGATGCCAGTTTTGGCTCTTTCCACTCAGAGTAGCTCTCCGAAACTACCCCGGCAGGCCCTGTCCTTCTTAACGCTTCTATCCACCCATGCCCCAGCACCAGCACACCACACGTGTTCTCGGTGCTATGATATGAAATCATTCCTTTGATCAATTTGTTAAAGTTGTCACAATTCATCGTTTCTTGTTTTCTTCCTGTTTTTGTGGGGAAAGCTTTTCAAAACGGTTCAGTTTTGGCTCTGCTCCTATGACAGTCAATAATAAAACTCTCATTAGAGAGATAATTAGAATTAGAACAAAGTTAGATACATGCTGAAACCTGGCCATTAGTGAAGTTTATGAGAGACAAAATTGTTGCTGTCAAAGAAAATGTAGATTTTGTCAGCTCTGCATATTACACAAATTACTGAACAATTTGCTTAAAAGAAAACAGCCGGATTGATTTCACGTTGCTTACATTCATCTTTTTACCCTGGATACAAAGCAAGTTGATAATTTTAAAATTATTTTTAGGTACAGTTTATAAGTGCTGTTCATTTTTCTCTGGAAGATTTGGGGTAAATTACAGGTTTCTTTTCTGAATATAATGAATCCTGCAATAATCTACATACTTTAACTCAGAGGAAGAAATAAACTGAGAAAACTATATGAGAAAACAACTTAAAAACAGAATGTGCAAATCATGTAGTGCTCTAAAAGCTTTCTTGCGATTAGCTATCATTCAGAAGACACTTAAAAAATGCTTCATCTGGCCTTTTTCTTGGTCATTCTTCTAACCATCTTAAACACATAATGTGATGTTTGCCATGGCAGCCCAAGTACCGCTGCGTCTGTGATGCGGGCTGGATGTCGCCTCCGGGCAGCCCTGCCTGCAGTGCTGATGTGGATGAGTGCAGCCTCCCGAACCGCCCATGCTCGCAGAATCCGCCTGTGCAGTGCCACAACACACCTGGCTCCTACACATGTGGGCCCTGCCCTGCAGGTATCATGTCCTTCCATGTCCTCGCTCAGGGGAAGGGGGCAGCAGGCAGTTCTGCCTGTATTTCATAAACATAGACGACGTGGGAGTAACTGGATAAGACACTTTGGTCTATATTTGAGAGAATAAATGCCTACAGGTTATGTCTTATCTAGCTAACGTAGGCAGTGGGGTTTAGCAAGTGATTTGTCCCATCCTAATGTAAGCATCTCAACAGTCCTAATGATTTGCATTCTTAAAGTGCCTATTTCTTTCCACTGACTTTAATGGGAGCTTAGGATGACTAGATTGGGGTAGGTAGGATGAGTCCTACCCACTAAGTTTAGGGCTACCCCCATATCTGTATGCCCACTGCCCTAAGGCATAACTAACAATTTAATAGTCCCTTCAAGCCTTCAAATCTTTGACTCATCTTTCTGAGTCAGGTAGGTAGCATGAGTAAGAGGTGAATATAAGGATTTGAAGCATTTAGCCAGAGTTAGAATGAGCCTTTGCTGCTAATTGTACATGCATGTGCTAAATCAAAATTGCCTCTTCTTTAGCTAAAATTGTGTTTGGTCATGGAATATCCGGAATACAGTTAAAATAAAGGGTTCTCACACACACCTTCTCCCTATCATGTTTGTAACCTGTTTGCAGACCAACTTTAATTTGCATCAGTTATGAGAGGGATAGTTCTTATTCACTTGTGTTATTGACGTGAAATTCAAAAGTAGTATTTTTCTGTGCTAAGAAAGATATGGTCAAAGAAGAAAAGGAAAAGGTCAGGCATTTTCCATGTTAATGTCTCCCTTGTGCTTCTTTTTAGGCTGGCAAGGAAACGGCTACAGTTGCCAAGACATTGATGAGTGTGAAAGTAATAACGGAGGCTGCTCAACAGCACCAATGGTTCAATGTATCAACACAATGGGATCCTTCCACTGTGGGCTTTGTCCACCAGGTAAAATAATGGGCTTTATGTTGATAAAATCACAGACTGGCTTAAGAGATGTAGGTTCAGTGCATTTGAGCCTATGTTTCATGGTATACTTAAGAAGCTGCAGTTTGTTTTTACATAAAAATGTATCTTAGGCTCAATGCAATATTGTAATATAGCATCCAGAGTCACTCTCTGAATGTTGCCTAAGAAAGCAGCATTTCCACTGCAGTGCAGACAGAACACTGGAAGTGGCCATTTATGTCTATATGTGTGGTTTATTGATTAAAATGCTTTATGATATGCATGCTATCAATGCTAGAAATACTAGCAAGAAAAAGTGTTTCTAAATGACCTCCTCTACTTTAAATAGCATAGACATACTGCAGCTCATGAAAGTTCTCAGTTACTGAGCACTGAAGGGCTGTCACCATGCCGGACGTGTGGCCTCAGCAGAGCTATGGGTGGGTGCAGGGCTGGGCCCTGAGGAGTGGTGCTGCAGTGCCAAGGTCCTGGCGAGTGCCGCATCTGAGAGCTGCCGGCAGCTCTGACTGCTGCAGCTGCCCTGCCGTGCTGGCACGGCTGGATGCCAGAGCCCTGAGCAGGCAGCACACGACGGCTGACGCCTGAGATCCTACAGCCTCACTCTGACCTCACCTGTATTTGGTAGTACCAAAATTATATATATATATATGTATACACACACACGCACACATAGATATAACATATATATATATAATATATTGCTGTTCTAAAATGGTATAAGGATTGAGTTAAGATCAGAATCCACTCCTGCAGTGTAGGAACCACAATAAATATGCCAGGTTTACTCCAGTGGCTATCACGCCTTTTAACTGCAGAAGGCTCATTTTACATCATAAACTAGTGTGTTTCTCACCATGATTGTTTTGCTGTTGATCTCACAAAACATGGTTTGCTATAGACTAAGATTTTACTCCCAACAGGTTATGAGGGAGATGGACAAACATGCACCCAGGTTGATATCTGCTCAATAAATAATGGAGGGTGCCATCCTTTGGCAACTTGTACCTCTGGTCCAGGTATGGTACCTTTTTAAGGACTGTAAGTAATATCGGTGTGAATTCTCAAGAGGGTTTGATTAGTCTGTTCCCACTTTGTAGTAACATATTTATATTGCAGCCCCTTCTCCGCAATCAGTTTTGCCTTGCCCAAGGGAAAGTACAGGCAGGTCAGCTAAAACCAGCAGGCCCTTGCACAAACACTGGCAGCAACTCATTCAGGCTCCAGCACCAGGGAACTGCAGATTTCCTCACAGGGATGTGGAGATTTTCACCATTTCCTTCTATGTGGTTTTCCAGTTTCAGCTACATTTACCACTCTTCTCCTTTCCACAATTACCTTCTAACTGATTCCACCACTTCCTGCAAAGCTGACCTTGGGGTCTCAAGTACCCACATCAAAGCAGCGCTAGTGATCTTTTCATGATCAAACTGGACGTTGACTGGAGAAGGCACCAAAAGAACACATAACTTAAAATTATATAAAGGCTCTGCTTCAAGATGTGAAGGACCTTCACTGACAAGGTTGGCATTGTTATTGTAACAAGGACTGAACTAGTTACTGTATCTCTTTTGTCTCACCTCCCAAGGGGCAATGCCATTTTGTTCCTGCATGCCTGGGTACACTGGGAGTGGATATGGGCCAAATGGGTGCTCCTCCCTCAGTGATATCTGTCAGCTGCAAAACCCTTGCGCAAATGGGCAATGTCTGGTAAGTGCTGGACCCTTCATAGTTGGAGACAACGTGACATGGATATAACCACCAACACCAAGGAGACTGGTGGGACTGAAATCTGAGTGCAGACACATTAAAGATAATGAGGCAAGGTCAGCGGGGAGCGAGAAATCAGCCGACATATCTGGGGAAATTAGAGGAGTTTCTGGAGCTTCTAGGCACACAAGGCATTTTCTTCTTGTCTGGAGTAGAGGTAGCAATCTTAGGCACTAATGAGCAGGCTGCCACTAATGAGCTGGAGAGGTAGCTGGGACCCCAGGGCAGTGGCAGGATGCTGGTAGGGAGAGCTGATGACAGGGACAGGGAAGCAATTTACCACCTTGGATCATGGAGGAGTTACCCACAGTAATAAATGCAGTATGTCTGTTGACCCCCAGATCTAGTACAGTTACGTGTTTCTGTCCTTTACATCTCTCTGTTCTTCTGTTCGTTTTGTGAGAGTCCCCCTTGAGTCTCAGGCTGTGTATATGGACACAGAGGGGTGGCTTCATGGGAATTGGCTGTATTCTCACTGGTGGCTGAGCTTTTCTGTCCTTTACCGATTGGTGGTGTGAATTCATTCTCATGCATAGCGACTGTTTAGTTTGTCCACATAGACTCTATGAAGGCTTTGTGTCCCTCAGTAGGTGTGCTGCACCCAGGGAAGTCCATACTGCCAACCTGAGGATGCTGATAATTCTGATGTGGAGGATATTTATTCTGATGGTTCTGGAGATACATTAGCAAATGTTAAATTTGTTGTTTCAGTAGAGTGTGATCCTGTTTGTCCACATTTGTCTACAGATATCCTCCTTTTGATGATCCTGGGAGGCAGGGGGAAAATGCGGCATATGGTGCATTACCTCCCCCTTCTCCTACTTTCTTTGTTAATGGAGATGATTTCCTCATCCCCACTCCACCCCTTAGCAGCACCCCTCATCCTCTCTTCCATAGGTACCTATTGTCTTTTCTCTCAGATATTTAAGGGGCCTTCTGTGCCCAGACCTCATCTGCTTTTTCTAACTATATCAGTCAAGTCTAATAAAAGATATGACCTGTTCCCTTAAATGTTTCCTAACACACAACTTTAGACTATAGTGACTACAACACTACTACTTAAAGATAATGAGGTAGTCAGATACTCCAGTAACGGGACTTCAGAAGTATATAATTAAATAGAGGAACACAAAAACTATATTTGGCCAGCATAATAACAAATGAAATATAATGTTAATTAAATATCAGGCAATTCAGATCAGAAGGCACCTTTTTATCTTCTAAAGCACCATTCTAGCCAAAAATCAAATACACAGAAAAAAGACTTTTCCATCATAGTGAAAATATCTGTTTGGGACACAGAGGGTATGTACACAGAATGGGAAAGGAAACAGCACATTGATTTTATGGCATCGAAGGTGGGATTGTTAGTACCTACCTTGGAATAGCATGTTCTGCTTTTACTGTAAAAAAAAAAAAAAAAAAAGGAAATTTAAGGAAAGAGGACATAAGATATTAAAATAGTTAGAGATATGGAAAGATTTGCTTATAAGGAGAAGTAGTAAAGCTCGAGACAAAAGAAAATGTAAGAAAGGAAAAACAGAAATACAGAATAATGAGTAACAGAGAAAGCAATGCAAATGTTTCTGTTTAATATCCCTCAGGGTAAGAAGGCAAGTACCAGCCAATGTAACTGAAATGTTATATATACCATGACTTCCCAGAGAACAGGCTTGGAATGATTTATAAACCACTGTTATCTTGGCTTCTTATTTATAAGGTTTAGATAATCGAATTGATTTGTTTCTAGAGTAATCATTTCAAAGCTAAGCAGTTTTATGAATGGCAAAATAAATAGAGATTCTGACTTTTTAAAAAGTAATTTGAAATGGCTCTGCAAAGAAATAACTCAATAGAAAAAGCAAAGAGCTGCATAACTTGGTTAAGCTTTGGGTTTATTTTAGTATTCACCAATTACCATCAAGACCATTAAATGCCAAATGATATATTTCTTTACTCTGAAATCTCCACATAAAACAAGTGTAAACATCAGTCTTTCTGACTCCTTTAGATGGTCCGTGTTCATTGAGGTTATTGCATCTTTTTATACGTGCAGGCAACAATCTCTGGATATTTCTGCGTGTGCAATGGGGGCTGGACGGGCCCTAACTGCACGGAGAATATCGACGAGTGCGCTAGCAACCCATGCCAGAATGGAGGAAGCTGCAGCGATGGGGTTGGCGGGTACTCGTGCGAGTGCACCAGCGCCTGGACGGGGCCACAGTGCCAGTACGCCCAGCACGGTATGGCGGGGAGCCCTCTGCCACAGAGATGGGCGCCAGGTTCCCGCGAGCCTGTGCTCCGCGCGTACCACCAGCACGCGGGTCAGCACCGGGTCAGCATGGTAAACTCAGGGTGGTGGAGTGCAGGTTCTCTTCCAGGGTCCCTGGGGGCAGAGTTTGCCATGAAATTTCATCAAAGTGCCCTTGCTGAACAGTAAGAGCCTGACACTGAGGCCGGGTTGTTGGCCTGTTGGCCTTGACTAGACCCCAGACATCCTAAAACCAAATTTCTGTTCCAAGAAGCCATCTTCCAAATCCTGACTGTGTCAACACTAAGCCAAATGGGAGAGAGGATTTGATAGAAGGAGAGCAGATTTACAGGAGAATATAATATTATTTCTGTTTTGTGCACGCTGTTTCTTTTGTTCATTGCAAAGCTGAAAGGTCCTGACATTTTTAGTTGATGTAAAAAGCCAAAAAAGGTTTACAAACAGAAATGTAATGAAAGAAATGTTATCTGTGAAGCTGGGAGACTTGGAGTTATATAAAGTGACTAGAAGGTCCTGCCATTAGCATTATTTCTCAAAGTCATTTGCTTGCTTGCTTGCTTTTTTGTTTTTTTTTCCTTGTTTTTGGTGGGTTTTTTTGGCCGTAAATTTTAATTAAACAAGGTCAAGATAGCATTCCAGTGGGTGTCCCTGTGGTATCCATCTGTCAGATGGCTCATATTTATCGCAGGTTGCTGTGAAGAAAGCAGATTATTAACTTTGCACAGAATACAGAATGCAAAGTTTTCTTTGAGCCACTGTGAAATGTGTTCTCTTTTACAGCTACTTCAGGTTTCTTCCTATTTTCTTTTAATTTCTAATCAATAATTTTTTTATTATTAAGCATATATATGTGAAAAAAGTAATTTTTTAACTCTTCATAAGAGAAAGGCTAGAAAGCCAGTTTCTGTTCAGTGAGAAATTTAAATGTATCAACCTTTGTTTTAGTTCCTAATCAAGGGGAAAAAATAAAGTTTATGACATAGTAGTTCTGAATCTGATTCAGAATGGTGAGGTGTTTTGGGTGGACGCTTCAAACAAAATTGTATTTTTTACTCTTCCCTGAGCCAAAATATTTCATTTCAGATTGCTGAGGAGAATTGAATATTTCATTAGCATCAGCTGAGTGCTAAACGGCAGTTGATTGTTGTGTGGCTGTATGTTCATTGTACTCTGGATCCTTTACAGCCATATTTTTCCCTAGCAGTTTAGGATTCTTGCTCCGCAGCTCCCATTCATCAAATAGCTCAGTGAGAGAAGAGACCACGGTATATCATGAGCAATACTATCAGGCCCAGAAATCTGACCCTCAAGGATAAATAGACTATGAAACATCTGAAGAATAACACCACTCTTGATATTCAAGACAGCTTTATATCATGTTAGCTTCAAAATATTATTGCAGTGTAGGGGAAAAATTGGAATATTTCAGTTTAAAGCTAGCCTTCTGGAAACAAACTACTTTATTAGCATTTTTCTGGGACAGAATCAACATCTTTTGACAGAATTCACATATTCCTAAAAAGAGTCGATTATAGAAGTATCTTTCATCCTTGTTTTAAATGTTTAACAAGTTGAAGCTATGTTAGAAAGTTTGGTTTTATTTCAGTCTATATAGTGATAGCAAAAAATTAATTAATTTAATTTTATCTCTCTTCCTGCAGTTTGTGGAGGATACCTCTCGGGCTCCAGCGGGACCTTCAGTTACCCTAACAACCCAAGCAGCCAGCGGTATGATAATAGTGTCAGCTGTGCTTGGGTTATTCGAACCAATCCCAACAAGGTAAAATAGAGTTCAGGTTAAAGAAACCCTCACTCTGTGAGACTCCTCAGCTTGTTAGAGCAAAAACAGCCATCCTCATGCCACATATTCCAATATCGTGATCCAATCCCCTCGGAATAAAGAGCTTTGCAAAACGAATAAGTTTTAGGCTCTGTTGAGCATTCCAATTCCTGAGCCTAAAAATTTGCCTGGGTCATGTTTTCAACGTTTTTTTGCTGAAGGCTAAAATTTAATTTTTCCTATCATCACTGCCTCCTAAAATGAGATCTTAAAAAAATACACTAAATGATTGGAGATTTCTAATAAATTTGTGAGAACTGGCATCACTTACCACCACCTAGAGAAGCCACATGTCTTACACGGCTTTACACTATGAATGGCTGCATGAGAAACGCTCCACAGTTGGTTCATGGGCTAAGTGACACCAGAAGAGTTTTCTGTTTCTGATTTCTGAGCCCCCGAAATGTGGAATGCTGAATTCATATAGTCAATGGCTTTGTGCAATGAAAAGTGTTTGATTTTTTTTTTTTAAGGATTAACTTTTAAATGTTACACTCAAATGTATATTCTGATGCTGATTTGCAATTAACATTTCTACTTATATTTTAACTAAACCATAAAACATGTTATTCACCCTTTAGCATGGGACTTCTTGCTCAGGATCTAAATGTTTGGTCTATTTTTCACATTGCAAGCAAATGAATTGAGTAGTTCTATAAACCTCTAGTGGTTTATATAGCATTGTATACTGTAATATATATATACTGTATAAACTGCTAGTGGTTTACACAGCATTATATGCATGTGACAGATCTTCTACTTTAGGTAAGTCTGGGAGCCACCAGTGCCTTCAGCAGAGCTATATTTAAGCACATCAAGTGGGGGATCTGAACTTATGCAAAGCTGTATATGCCACTATTTGTCTAGACTGAGTTTATAAGACAGCATTGATATGCACAAAAAATCATTTCCTTTTTAATTCCCACAACAATATTTCAGCCATATAAAGGGTGAGAAATTTCAACTATCTCACATGAGAAAATACCATGGGAAACCTGGAATAAAATATTTTATTCTCTATTTCAAGCCTTTCAGACTGTAGTAGATAGCGCACACAGGCAAATGGTAATAATTATTAGTTTATAGGAAGAATGCTCTTTCCAGACAACTCTCCTGTCCAAATTCTTTCCTACCTTCTTGTGCTTTAACCCTTGAGATTCTGTAATATCTTCTTCTGTCCTGGATCTCTTCAGGTAATGGCTCCAAAGTTTGTGGATGCTCACTATATGAACAAGTACACCTGCTCTGTGCAGAGTTACTGCATAAAGAGTATCTCGGCAGATGGAAAAAGAGTGATTTCATATTTTGCTCCTTCCTGTTAGATTCTGCATATTAGTTTCCCGTTCTTCCAACTGGAGGCGAATAATGACTGCAGCTCTGACTTCCTTCAAATCCATGATGGGGCATCAGCATCAGCGCACATGCTGGGGAAGTACTGTGGCTCCTCACCTCCTGCAGAGCTTTCCAGTTCCCACGACTCCCTGTATTTTTGGTTCTATTCAGACCACACCATTACAGCCGGAGGTTTCACCGTTCAGTGGGAATCTCGGGATCCTGGTAAGTTTGATGTAATGTCAGGTAAGTTAGCAGGTTCATTACTGTGGAGCAAAATGAATGACTTATTTTCCTTGATTAGAAAAAATCAGTAGCAGTAGGACAGTATTTTGCTAATGAGTAAGGCCAAAATGTTAACTCATATGTTATTTTGAGATGTTAGGAATTCCAGCTTTAGGCCTCTGCATGAATAATTTTCTGCTGCTATCTTACCTTAGCTTTTAAGGCTGCTTTATGCTTCTTGTGAGGAATCTCCCAAAGTGCTCGTGTTCCTGGAGATATTTTTCTTTTAATTAATTTTCTTTTCTCTCAGAAGTATCTGGTACTTTGAGCAGGCAAGTTACCCTTTTGTTCCTTCTTTTACAGTTTACAAGAGGCTCAAGAGGGTACCTTATGCTTTCAAACATGATAGTAGCAGAATACTTGGAATTTGATTTTAAATGATCTATGATTTGCTGCAGTTTAACGCCTGGATTCTTGACAGCACCACGTATATGTTTCTCCCAGGAGGCCTGAGAGCACATTTCTTGAGATAAACCCCAAATCATCTTGTGCTATACGAAATTCATTTCAAAGCACTGTATATTGTCTAGAAACAAAAATGTGTTCAGTCTGAGTTCTGTCTTGAAGGAACCATAGAGAAAGAAGTATAGAAAATTCAGGGGGGAAATTATTTCTTAATTTCTGTAAGCTTTAAAGTGCTCTTTTAAAGTTATTCTCTTTTTTTTTTTCCCTTTCAATTGACATTATAAGATGGGTGATTACTAGTGGATGAATGAGGAGGAGAGGTATAGATGTGACTAAACTAGCTATGCCTTAGGTATAATGCACAAGTCACCCCTAACATTATCCAGCTGTTCGTGGAGAGGGTTTTTTTTTTACACTAAGTACATAAAATAGCCTTCCCTGCAATTACAAGTATATATGTATATAAGTATATATTTTAAATGAGAACAGTCTTATGCTAGGGTCAAACATGGAGATTATATTTATAAAGTACAGAAATTCTGATTAATTTTGTAAATCTAATCCAAAAGACAGTGCATTCCATTTCTAAACTAAATGGTTTTGATCATTCTCCTAGTGATATTTCCATTATAAGTATGAAAGAATCCTTCTTTTGCTGTGCAGATTAGGAAATATTTAGGGATCTGCTTTTTTACTGAGTTGCAGAATTAATTATAAAATTTAAAGCAAGAAGTAACTTTGTTTGTTTGTTTGTTTGTTTTAAATTTACTCTGGTTCCTAAAGTGGTACCTAACTTTGACACTATAGGACAGTTCAGCTTTTGACTTGATGTTCAGTATTACAAACTATGTTTTGCGGTATTTCTTTTCTTTTAGAATGTGGCGGTGAACTAACAGATACTTATGGCTCGATAAGCTCTCCAGGATACCCTGGTAACTATCCTATTAACAGAGACTGTTTCTGGACCATCTCAACCAGTCCCGGCCTCCTCATCACATTTGCTTTTGGCACGCTAAGCCTAGAACACCATGAAAATTGCAGCTATGACCATCTAGAGGTAAAGCTTCCTCGTGGATTATGACAACATTTTATGGCAATGTTATTGCAGAACAAGATATTTCAAAACCTTTTTCTGTGTACAGAAGAGGAATGTTTGAAAATCCTGGATTAAATCCTGGATTGAAATGCTCATTTGTACTTACTTATCCCAGTCATGAATGCACACTCGGACACAGGGAGAATAACAGAAAGAGAATGAGATTCTGCTCCACTGAAGTCAGTGGAAGTCTTTCCACTGAAGAGGATGGGATTCAGGCCAGATACCTGTTGGGAAGCTTTCCCTTTCTTACAAAGTCCGGTCCCCAAGCTCCTAGTTGAATGTCTACGCACAGGGAATTCATCAGCCAAAGGAAAACTATCAGAGAAAGGGATCTAAGATTAATAGGTTCATATTATACCACCATCAATGGCTTGAGGTGTGAGCTTTGGGCTTTTTCTCAGGTGCAAATTGATTGTTATGGAATTCACAAATGCCCAATTATGGAAATGAGAAAATGGTTTAGAATGGGATGTTCTTCAAAATAGGACACTTCAGAGGATGGTTTCAAGAAAACAGTACAATAGTAGATCTCCGGATATTTTCTTTCCCTCTGACAAAACTCTTAATGATCTCTCCTAGGAGTACCATCATAAAGAGCAGTTCTGCCAGTGGGTGTGTTTCTTGCTTCCTTGCTTCCTGTTTCTTGCTTCCTTTGGGGGAAACTTTCTATCAGCTTTCCCTCACCCACCATCCACCATATCTCCTGGGGCCCCTTGAGATAACTTTAAAAATGTTGGTACTGTCCAGAGTTGGTATACATCTGTTAATCCTAAAAGCTGATATATCATTCTGTTCAGATTCGAGACGGTCTTCTTCCCCAAGACCCAGTCCTCGGTAAATACTGTAGCACCGGCTCTCCACCCCCGCTCCAAACCACTGGCCCATATGCATGGATTCACTTTCACTCTGACGACTCAGTTACTGATAAAGGCTTCCACATTGTCTATACAACGTCACCTGGTAAGTTAAATTCAACATTAGACTTTGGACTGTGACGTTCCCATGATACAGCCAACGGGACATGAATGGATGTGATAAACACCTGCAATTTAATAATACAGGAAGCCTGTTTGATTTGCAGCCATTGTACAGAGGCAGCCTAAACTGAAAGACTTGCGGTACTTGTGAATATCTCAACTAATTTTTTTTTTCTTCTTAATATAGCAGATACAAATTGTGGAGGAAATTACTCAGATAGTGAAGGGGTTATCATGTCCCCTTTCTGGCCGAACCCTTATATTAATAACCGACAATGTATCTACATTATCGGACAACCAGAGGATGAAAAAATATACCTCAACTTCACGCATATGGAGCTGGAGAATCACACTGGTTGTTCATCGAATTATATTGAGGTGACTTTTCATAACCAATTGATATGAAAGGTTGATTACATGTGTGTACAAAACTATGCAGCGTAATTTATGTCTCAGGGTCTGCTGCAAGAATAGACATTAATCAAGGAAGTAAGTACACCAACTAATTAGGTCCAAAAGCCGCAGGGGCTGAAAGAGCAGGACACTACATTCAGAATGAATCAAAGATGAGAGAGCAAGAAAATCAGTCTAGCATTACACTAATCCTCAACCAGCTGTACATGATTAAGATGGAGTTTAAACCTTTGCTGAATGCATACCCAATGCAAGCAAAATATAACTAATACCACAGCCACTCTGTAGCATTTTCTGGAGTCATGGTGTTATGCTTAAAATCTTGTTTAGGGGCAAAAAGGAAGCACACCTTCCACACACCACACACACATATATATATACATATATATATATATGTATATACACACACACACACACACACACACACACACACACACATATATACAAACATATATATATATAAAAGAATGTATGTTAGTATAATTGAGAAGAGTCTAATTCAGGAATCATTATTAGTCTAGATCTAATTATTGCAGCAAAAGAAAGAATAATAGAATAGTTCTATACAGAAAAAGTAATAATAAACATACAATTAAAATTGTAACACACCTCTTAACACCAGGAAAAAGAAATAGAAGCTGTGCTCACCCTTCCATTACTCCTCTGGCTCCTAACGTCAGGACCTCTGGGCGCCTGGAGAGGGTGACCCTGTGAGCCCTCAGGCCCTGGAGTCCTTTGCTGGGAGGAATATGATGTTGATGTTGTCTAGGATCCACCTGAGGTCTTTTTTTAATGTTTCCTAACACGCTTTTACATGTTGGTCTTTCTTCATTGGTGTTCAGCTCTATTTTACATTTGAATTTACTACATATGGTGCCTGTTATGCATGCTAGATGCTATTTCTTTGTTTTCCTTGTTACCCCTAAAACCTGGCTCACGCAGCTCCAGGTCTGCACTTTAACTGACCACAGGCAAGCTATGCGAGGGTGCCGCGTGGGCCGGTGGCTCCGCAGGGCCAGGGAGGTTACGTATGGCTATGGGATCTCAGTGCAGAGCCGGTGCCCCTCCGTTACAGCCCCACGCCTGCTCTCCTCCACGCACGTCCGGGGCCCTGCTCCCGTGGCCTCTGCTGCGAACCAGCCCTGGGCCCCTCTCACCGCACCACTATGTGCCTTATTCTGCACAGAACAGCTGCTTGCTACTGCTAGCTCTATAAAACTGTGGTTGTACCATGCACAGAAAAGCAGAGGTAAAACAAATTAGCTTTAGACACCTGGTCAATTAGAGAAATTGCTGTTGCAGTTAAACCAAGTAAAAGAAAGCTGCAGGCAGGTCAAGAAAAGTTCAAGCAGAGCAAGTCTGACGAGCCTCGGTCCTGAGGCCTTGCAAATTCAGCACAAAATTTAAGCTTATAGCCTTTTACTAGCAATGGCAATACTGTATTATGGGGCTACACAGTTACACGTGTAGCGTTTCAACCCATGAAACAAAATGGGTTTCATTTTGTTTTGTTTTGATCTTTTTTTACCAAACCGGGAATAGGCTCCTGTGAGCTCTGTTTAGTTAATCTGTTTTTAAAAGATTGGTTATTGTGTTAACATCGTTCCCTTCCCTCGTCCTCTAATTCAGAGACTTTGGTTGGAATGAAGTGTAATTAATTTCTGAAGCGAGAGGGGAAGTGTGTTTAATGAAAACAGACAGCTTTTGTTTGTTTGGCCTGGTACTCCTCTTGCCTAATTGCTGGCAGAAAAGCAGCTAAATTCACAGCAGCCAGAGAAACAAAACCATTTCTGTTGAATACAATCAGTTGGTATTAATTCAGCAAGGCATTTATCTTGTTGTTTGCTGATCAGTCGCAAGCACTTCAGTTTCCCTGCACTGCTTTCTGTCTTTCTCCCATCCTCCTCCTCTTCCTACCCTCTCGCTTGGATCCGCTCCATCCAGCGCAGGGAAGCAGGGCTGGCGTTTTTGGACCTGGGAACGTGCAGCATGGCTGAAGCCCTGTGCTCTGTATCAAGGCCTAATTTTCCGCGTGCGCTTTTCATGCTGCTTGTGCGCTCTCAAATACTGTCTCGCTGGGCTTTATAGTAAAGTTTAACTAGGGAGGTAGCTTTTGGTTGCTTAAGTTACTTTAAAAATCCTTTTCAGGCAATTGTTTTGTCACTTTGAAAAGATGCAGAGTATTCCCATCCCCGGCTCTGTCAGGAAATGTGCAGCGTTTCCGCAGCAGCCAGGCACAGCTCGCCCCCCTTGCTCAGGGAGGGATGTTTAGTCTCTTACCAAGGGAAGAGCAGCCAGGGACCAGGGGTCTGCAAGAAGAAACCAGACACAACAAAGCTTCTTATTTCGGAACGACTGTGGCACAGTGCTGCAGAGGTAAGGTGTTAGCCAAGCCAGCTCCTTCTCCTTGCCATCCTTCCAAAGGGCAATCTCAGCCATTAATTCAAATGGCTTAGAGAGCCTGTTATTGTTATCACTGCTGCCTGTAGTAAAAAAAAGAACTGTAGTTCTGGAAACTTTCACCACTGTCTAAAGATTTTCTAAATCTTCCGGGCCAAATTCTGATCTTAGTGACTCCACCATAAATCCAGAGTAACTGTCACCTGAAACTCAGGTCCCTGGGAAATAACAGATGACTGTTAGAGAGTCAGAAAGCCATTTTACCAGCCGGAGTTTGCCAAACGGTGTGAGCAGGCCAGCCCCTGCCTCTCACCAGGCCTGCCATACCCCTGGCACAGGCTTTCCCAGCCCATGGTGTGAATACAGCTGAGCACGGCAGAGGACATGGCCATCGGGGAGCTGAATCCTGGCTGTCTCCGGCTTTTCAGTGATTTCACTGGAACGATTTTTTGAGGTTGATTGCGTGTATATTCAACTAAGCAGCTCCAGCTGTAGCCAGTTTTACAGCAGAAAAAAGAGCCATTTTGTTTTCAGGTGAACCTTTGGGAGGATAGGTGCGTTTGGCTTCCCTGTTGGCATGAGGTGGGCACCTCAGAGGGTGTTCAGAGCTCCTCACCCGGCAATGCCTCAGCCCTAACAGCTCTCTGCCTCACCTTCTGGATGCGCCTACCCTTACCCCCTGGCTGTGGGTTCAGGGCCTGATGTTAGGCAATGCAGATACCTCTCTCCCTCCTAGTCCCCTTGATCCTCAGCATCTATAATCAGCTCTTGGGAGAATTCCCAACATGCATTTCTCCTTTGATTAACAAGTTGTTTACTGTCAGATGAGTCCAGTGGCAGTGCAGAAGGTAAAAGCTGGAAGCGATTCCCTCTTGGAGTTTCATTGTCATTATCACACATTGGACCTTTCAGATAAAATAATGAAAAGGCATCAGCGTAGCTGTGTTTTTACTGCCTTGGGGACTTAGAGTCACATCTCCTGTTAGTGAGCTGTTGTATGGGTGTGATGCAACGTGTGCCCTTTCTAGAGAAATGCCATTGAAAGATGAATAGAAACTTCAAGGCTAAAACAAGGAAAACACACAATCCTGGCAAAAATGTCATTGCTTTTCACTGGTGAGTGCCTTACCTGTCACTCTGAAACCAAAGGAGGCACTTTGGAAGCACATGCTCCAAATTGTGCTAAAGCTGTAATTCAGAGAGGTAATGTTCTGTTGCACCCTACTGTTCTCAAACAGTGGGGAGAGGGTCTTCTATGCTGGTATCACCCGGTCCTTCCTTTGAGGTCTCATAAATGAAGTGCCTGTGCCAATTATTGTAATGGCCCTTTGGCTCTCTACTAAATGGGCAGTTACTTTTTTGTTATTTAGCGGTTCTTGTGAGATTATAGTTTTATCCAGATATCACATTACACCACTTTTATGATCTGAGATATTTCTTTGTTTTTCTTTTTGATGAAGAAAGCTGAACAATCTTTTCTTTTTTAGGTTCGAGATGGTGACAGTGAGATATCCCCTCTTATTAATAAATTCTGTCATAGTACATTTATATCTCCAATCACTTCTACCAGCAACAGTCTCTGGATCAAGTTCAAGTCTGATGCTTCTGTGCAAAGGGCTAGCTTCAGGGCTGTTTATCAAGTTGGTAAGAGAAACTGGTGACTTGTCCAGTGAACTGTTCTGTAACTCGGACCTTTTCAGTCATTTCTGTGCTATGATATATATACAGTGGGTTTAAGACAAACGTTAAAAGAAAAAAAAGAGTCGATTTGTTTATTTATTGCCATTTTTAGAAATGCTAAGAAGATGTCTGCTGTAGGCACTTCTACCATATTTGAAAATATATTCACTATTGCTACTTGGATGACCTACTATGGTAGATGCTGTGAGATGATAGGCTTGTAGGGGTGGTTTTTCTCTAAGTTCATAGTGATATTTGATAGACATCACGGTATTCATTTCTTGAAACCATTCATCACAACTACTGACTCTTGGTGTCCGTTTGCAGCCTGTGGAGGCTCCCTGTCTGGAGCAGGTACCATCCATTCACCTTACTACTCCAGGACATCCTTTCACCTGAAGACCTGTGAGTGGATCATCTCCCAAGCAGATGGCAAAGTGGTGATTCTTAACTTCATTGACTTTAACATTCGAAATACAACCACTTGTGACTCGGACTATGTTGAGGTAAACAATTATATGTATATATTATGGTTTACTCGGAGAGATTCATATGTATGTGCTCCTTCTCATGCTCATCTCCACCTAATTGGAATTGGAGGTGCATGCACAGTTTGACAGATAAGCACCTGTTTTACAGCACTTATAAAAGCTTTTCCAGCTTCACCAGAGGAGTCCACACCTTTTTTGATTCTCCAAAGATAGTGTCATAATTTTGATAATCAGAGACAACAGTGATGTGTATCACAGAATCATAGAATGATTGAGGTTGGAAGGGACCTCTGGAGATCATCTAGTCCAACCTCCCTGCTCAACCAGGGTCACCTAACAGCACGTTGCCCAGGATTGTGTCCAGACAGCTTCTGAATATCTCCAGCGAAGGAGACTCCACAACCTCTCTGGGCAACCTGCTCCAGTGCTCAGTCACCCTCACAGTAAAGAAGTTTTCCTCAGGTTCAGATGGAACTTCCTGTGTTTCCGTTTGTGCCCATTGCCTCTTGTCCTATCACTGGCCACCACAGGGAAGAGTCTAGCCCCACGCTCTTGACAGTTCTCTCAGCCTTTCCTCATATGAAACATGCTCCAGGCCCTTCATCATCTTTGTAGCCCTTTGCTGGACTCACTCCAGGGGCTCTGTGTCTCTCTTGCACTGGGGAGCCTAGAACTGGACAGAATACTCCAGATGCAGCCTCACCAGGGCTGAGTAGAGGGGGAGGCTCACCTCCCTCCGCCTCCTGCCAACACTCTGCCTAACGCAACCCAGGATACCCTTGGCCTTCTTGACCACAAGGGCACATTGCTGGCTCGTGATCAGCTTGTTGTGCACCGGGACGCCCAGGTCCTTCTCGGCAGAGCTGCTTTCCAGCAGGTCAACCCCCAGCCTGTACTGCTGCAATGGGCTTATTCCTCCCTAGGGGCAGGACCCTGCACTTGCCTTTGTTGAACTTCAGGAGGTTCCTCTCCGCCCACCTCTCCAGCCTGTCCAGGTCCCTCTGAATGGCAGCACAGTCTTCTGCTGTATCAGCCCCTCCCCCCAGTTTAGTATCATCAGCAAACTTGCTGAGGGTGCACTCTGTCCCTTCCTCCAGGTCATTGATGAATATATTGAACAAGACTGGACCCAGGACTGACCCCTGGGGGACACCACTAGCTACAGGCCTCCAACTAGACTCTGTGCCATTGATCACACTCTATCAGATGTCTTTGAATAGATAGGTCTGCTTTTGGAGGTCTGTGTGCCACTTACTGTTGAGGGTATAAGATCTTAGTTTTTCCCCATCTGAATGCCCGTCAGTGGGGAGAACCCTTCGCTAGCAGTCATGAGGCTGAATTGTATGTGCCTGTGGTGCAAACCACGCTGAAGAGAGGGTAGGGTTTGACTTGCTAAGGATTTCTTTTATATTATTCTTATGAGTTCCTTTATGCTTACTGCTTTAATACAATAGAAATCTGTATGGGATATTTTGAATACACTGTTCTTCAGGTCAGAGATGGCAACAATACAGACTCTCCTCTTTTGGAGAAATACTGTGGTACAGCCGTACCATCTCGAGTGCAGTCTACACGGAACTATCTCTATGTCAAATTCAGAGCTTCCTCTCTTACCAACCTTGGCTTCAGAGCTGAGTACTGGCCCTTAGATACAGGTAAGGATTTTGTGTGCATGTGTCTTTCCAAACTTTTTTTATACGCTGGAATCACTGGCCCATCAAGTTTTACAAAGGTATAATGGGAGATAAATTCTGAAAGAGTTACTGCGTAGTATGCATCAAGGGAAAAAAAGGCTACAAAATTTCAGAAAGAAAAGTAACCGATTTTATAAGTGCCTTGTTCTTGAATAAATATTTCATTTAACCTGATGTTTTAAATCTCTACAGTATGTGGGGAGGCTCTCACTGGACCGGAAGGAACTATTACAAGCCCTGGTCATCCATCTGTCTACCCACATGGTATTAATTGTACCTGGACCATCAACATTCAGCCTGGCTACCTTATCCGCTTGACGTTCACTTCATTTAACTTGGCATTTGATTATGGTTGCAGAAAGGATTATCTTGAAATATATGACAACAGCACTGCGCAAAAATTGGGAAGGTGAATATGTCCACTAGCCTGCATAGCTGATTTATTGTAAAGTGTGCACTGTTCTGTAATCTTTCCATGCAATTTGCTTCCTTAAATTTTATATATAAATTAATTTCTTTGTGTTTCTGAAATAATAGCAGCAGTGCCTCTGCCTAGCCTAGTAAAGGCAGCTTCTTTCTTTGACCATAGAATGAGAACCACATTTAGTAAATATTATATTGGGAGAAACCAACTTGTGTCAGAAGGGCAGCTTTTCTGAGAACAGATTTCAATAGCTGCCATTGTCCAGCACCTTTTGCATTTTAATTTATGGGAATAAGTTCCCATAAGTTTATGGGAATAATATGTCTGTGCCTTGGAAAAGTTATGATTTGAAGCACTTGTGGAAGTAAAAGAAAGATTACTTAGAAGATTGTAGATTTGAGTTTCAGCAAAAACTAAACTGACGTCTTTGTCTTAAAAGGCTTGTTTTCATTTTCTCCTGATATGTGATTTTATACTAGGGAAGAAAAGGCTGTACAATCTTTTCTTGCTTTCCCCCCTCACCAAGTGGGGTATACACAGGGGTTTCTCACCATCCTGGAACTCAAGAACACCTAAACTACCTGGGCTCAGAGCATCCAGCTGCAGCCACAGCCAGAGACTGTAACATATTTGGCTAACAGGCCAGTATTTTTGGAAATAAGGAGCAAATGACTGTCCGGCTATAATGGAGAGTATTTTGCAATCTTAGTATTTTGTCAGCCACTCTGACTCCTGCTTAAAAAGTGGAATATGTTGTAGATGCAGCATGGACTTTTTGCATTAGGAAATTTCAATAGGAACCTGACTACTCAATGCACAGCTTCTCCTCTGACTTTGCTGTGCAAGATAGATTTATGTCCTTGTATATGTAGTGTAGTATTTAGTCTCATGACACAGGCTATACGGCTAGGATCTGTACCACCAAAAGGAGCTATATGTGTGTGTGCAACCTTTCAGACTTCTCAGGAAAGCTGAGTCTTCTTCCAGTAAAATAGATGCTTCATGAAGCATTGCCACTAAATTTGGGGCATTTTTTGGCTGCAGGTACTGTGGAAGATCAATTCCACCATCGCTCACTAGTGGTGGCAACATGATGACGCTGTACTTTGTGACTGATGACAGCATTGCCTCTGAGGGCTTTTCAGCTACTTTTATCTCCCTGAATGCATCAAAAGGTAATAAGTCAGTATGTTCATTACATGAATTAAATGTTTTCAGCTGTCACTATGAATAAGCACTATAAGAAAAATAAACATTATTTTCTGTGTTAGCAGAGGACTGCCTAGTGCCTCTTCTACTCCTTCTTAATTATAGCTACTTGATTCAAAAGCCTTTTCCTGCCTGGGAAATATGACGAAAGCAGAGAGCAATTTCTGTAAGCAACACTACTGCTTTCTTTAGAAAGCCATAAGAGTTGAATGGCAGAACTACATGAAGTATTTAGAAAAAGTATATCCTGAATTTGCTTTGACCGATCTGAGTTGAGTATGCATGATCTAAGAAGTGAAGCAATCCTGAACAACTTACTTGAATGGGAGGCTATCTGAACATCTCAGATACTGTAAAAATGAGTTTAGTTGCAATATTGATGATGGACAAAAAAAGTTCACATAGGACGAAATTAAAAAAAGCAGCAAAATAACCTGAGAGCACAAACCTTTTTTTTTTTCATGAAGACTGTGTGCAACTTTTTGACTCCAGCAGAGTTTAGACTTCCTGTTATGCCTTCCATCTGTTCCTCAAGTATCTCCTTTTAAGAGGCAAAGGCATATGTCAGTAGGAGAACAGCTGTTGAAGGGAAGAACGACCGTTCACTCCCTCAGATCTTTCAACCAGATTAAAACTGAGCAATTACTCAGAATTCTTCAGCTTGAAGGTTCTCCAGGGCAGGTACATCTGTGTTTTCAAACTATGCTGAATGTATCAAAACTTTTCCAGTGTTTGCACATCTCTCCAGCACTGAGACATTTGTTAGCACTGACTGAGCTACATTTGAATCAGCAGCCTTTTGGTGAAACTCTATATGTGCCAGTTCTATGGACCTCGCAGACATGGGTCTGCTGGATCTGCAGTAGAAGAGGCCTCCCATGGGCAGGGGGACAGATTCTGCCTAGTAGAGTTCAACTACAGAAGAGAGGGAACTGGAAAATGAAAAAAGTACAAGTGAGAATACATTTGTATCTGGGTTATTGCTTATCCACCACTAAGCAGTTTCTGGCTGGTTTGTTTTGTGTGTACATGGGCAGGATACAAGGAGTTTATTAGATGAATGCTAGAAATTCATGATATTCATCTATATAGCTGTAGACTACCAATGGCTGCTCATTTTTGCCCTTAGTATCTTTAGGTATTTTATTTTTCCTACTTTCTGAATTTCTTCAGCCCATCTAAAAACAGCAAAATTTCTAATTTCTATCTTGTGAAAAATAACTACTTTCCTAGTGTCGGCTTGGACAATTTGGCTGTTATTTCATCTCTCAGGCATGTGTGTAGGCGAGACCAGTACAGATTTTGCCACTGTGTTTTTATTCACCACCAGATAACTTATAAATGCAAATAATCCTTTTTCTCAGCTGCCTTCATTCATAGTTGTGTTATCTGGCATGAAACCAGAAAGTCGGTAAAAACAATTAAGATTTAATGAAACACGTCCCAAGGAAGAACCTTCTCTTTGTTTGAAAATAATAAGCCAAAAATAAATTCTACTTTTAAAAATCTTTCCAAGAAAGACTGTAGTTTGAAAATTCTGAGTTCTTGCTAATGAGAAAATGTGAAATTATCATCAGCCTTGTAAATAAGATATTTTGTTGGTTTGTTTTTGCATCTGCCAGCCATAACTTCTGTAAAAGTGATTTTGCTGCTTGTTAGTGTGATATTTGTCCTTTACCTTAGCTTAAATTTATATTCTTGGATAAAGGTCATTCCTTCCTAAACGTTCCTGTAGCAGCTCTTCTCACAGTTTATAGGAACCAACGAGTCCTCTGCTCAGCATTAACCTGTATTCTGTCCTTGCGCAACCCTGTTGGCTTCTCTGCTTTTGTTAGTTATCTCAGCCCTGATGAATGCCAATTTTTTCTGTTCAGCTTCATTACTCTGCCTCCTCTCTTCCACATCCCCCTCCACCACCACCACCATAGAGATGGGCTCTTCTTTCATCCAAAGCACTGCCATAAGCATCATGCAAGTTTTTAACTATATCAACACCACCCCTGGAATGATTTCAAAGTGTGCTTTAAGAATGCAAGGCTGTCTTCTCTTCAGTATTTTTAATAGCTAGAAACTGCATAAAATGTTTATATAAAATAAGAAGTACTAATTTCTTCATCCAAACTTTAAGCAACAGATACAATTTTGGGGCTAATATGTCTCTTTCCCCCTGAGGAATACACATATCTTTACTATTCTTCAGCTAAGCTGGGACTATATGCAAAAATATTACAAAAGAGCTAGCTCTCAATTTATTCTCGCTCAGATTCAGAACTATGGTATCTAGAATAAATGTAGTTTTTTTGTTTTTCTCGTCAACCACTACAGTTCGCATAAGTATGGCAGAGTAGCAGTAATTACTGAAACTGAAAATAATAACCTTATAGAGAAGTTGGAACTAAGATCCATTTTCTTTACAGAGATTTGTTTCTTTTCATCCCAGCAAGAACACAGTAGTACTACAAAATTCTCTTAAATGTTGGACTGCTAACATTCAGTTTTGATTAAGAATAAAGTGTTTTGAAGCTGCAGTAGCCTGAGAGAAGGAGAACATGTGTATGTGGACTTTGCTGTAAGAAGCAACTTCCCACTCCCCTGAAATTATATCAAATTTAGCCTTCCCACTGTGAGATTTCTAAGCCTGATATTCGTCTTACATATATACAGTTACACTGGGGTTGAAAATTGCTGAACATAATCATATCTGAGAGATTTACCAAAGCTATGGATTTTTTTTTCTTTACATCTGCTGCCTATTTTCATTTCATCTACTAATAAAAATATGGTTCTAATAAAGTTTCTTGTGCGGTAAGAATCCGTCATATTTTGAGTTAGCCAATTACAATGTAATCAATATCAGAACTGGTCAAAGCTGTTCTGGTTGATTTTAGATGATTCAATAGGCCTTTGCCTGGAGTTATTTTATAGAGAATGAGCTATTGAGAAGATGGACAACATTATCACAAAAAAGAGAGTAAGCAGGAGTGAGAAAAAATGCCTTTATATAAAATGAAGCTACTTTTCTTATCCATACATTTTAGTAATTTTTGTGTTAGTATAGTTTATCTGTGATATATTTGTTAGCTGAAGAGTGGCCTGAAAATAATAGCAAGGCTATATTCCCTGTCCAAAAAGTAAACTGAAAGCCAGGGGACACAGCTATGGCTATGGTCCACAAGGCGCAAACAATTATTTTAGCAGTCTGCCAGCTAGTAGCTGTGAATTGCTCAAATGGCAGGAATATGAATAGAAATCATTCAGTCAAATACGTCCACATTATACTCAGTTGTTTAAAATGTATAATGCCCACTTAAACTGTGTATACTTGGGAATGCAGGCCAACCATATTTCTTGGCTGTCTTTCTGTCTTTTGAGGAGAAAGTCACCTGGAAACCAAGCTATTGTTTGGATTTAATTCCTAGAGTCCAGGACTAGACCAACACCAGATTGCTGAATGTCACAATAGATATATAAATATTATGATAGATTTGGGGATTTTCTTTTTCTCATCTTGGCTGACCGAACCACAAAGAACCCGTGTGAAATCATGGACAAATCTTTGAAAGGGCTCAGTCTTGACTGGAAGTGCTGCTCAGCATTTTGAAAGATCCAGGTCACACTCCTTCAATAGGAATAGGGCTAGAGTCAGTGTATGTATTTTATTATCCTTGCCTTCTTCACAAATAATTGGGAATTTTCTTTTTTGCTTTGTGTTTTTTTTTTTTTTTTCATTAAAGAGGCTACATTTCATCCTTTCGGCTAAGGACAGTCAGCCTTTATGAGTTTTTTAGCAGACTGCATTCTTGGTGAAATTTTTATTCCTGGTCTTTCTCTGGCTTTGGTGAAATTTAAAATTTTTCCTCTTTCTCATCCTGAATTGTGAATGACATGATTAATCAAGAGGTGTAAGTTCATTTTAGATAGCTCAGTTTTGTGATATATTTTAGCTGTTAGTGACTGACTGGAGAAGTCAGAGTTTGAGAAGAATGAAGGAAAAAAAAGCATTCATGAACCTGTGGACTTAAAAAAATGGTCCCCGAGTGCAATATATAGTCGTGCATGTCTTCCTTCTCAGTAGCTGAGTACAAGCTGTAGCTAGTATTTCTAAGCAGTTTGGGTCTGAAACACTGTACAAAGGACCTTTGTGCACCTTCTTGGTAAAAATTCAGCCTCTCAGTGTCCGCCAGCAGCAGTAACAGCAGGCCCTGAAGTGCAGAGGTGCTTTTCCATTGCCTCTGGAGAGGGAGATACTTCATGTGATAGTTTCTTCCTTTTTTATCTAAACATGCCTAATGTTACATAAAGGGCTAATTGTTAGAGATCTGAGTTTTCCTTTGGCAGAGTAATGTTGACAGAAAAGTGCCATTTTACATATTACACTATAATTTTCTTATTTTTGATTAATTAGAATTGTGGCAACCGATGAATATCTCTTTATGGGGATAAAACATGGAGAGAATTTTCTGCGCTATGCATGACTGCATGAGTGAGTGGTACAAAAGCTGGCATTTTTCTCCACTGTTGGCTATATTACAGTAGGTTACTGCCGTTTATGGCCTTTTCTTTTCAGAAGAGCAAACATATTTCGTACCAAAGTCAGAAAGCAGATTGAATAGCTTTCAAAACCTCACACACTGGCAAAGCAAGATGTATGATTGTTCTGGGCAATTGCCGCCTTCTTCTGTATTTCATGGAGTGTCTTAAAAATAAACTGAATTCATATTTTTTTCCAGGCATATAACAATCACATTATGGAGTTAGACTGCCTTCGGAGCTTTGGCAAAGGATCCAGCGTTCTTTCTCTTGCCAGCTTTGCTAATAATTTTCTCTGAAGGAACTATTACTGCACAAGCACATCCCCATATAGTCAACCCTCATAAGCTGTGTTAGTGAGCTGAGTGCAAAAGATGAATACCAGCTCTCTTGCTACATGTAGAATAACGTAAATGAATCCACTTACCAGAACTGAGTTGGTAGACGCAAAATGTGGGTGCTTTTGATGTGTTGATGCTTTTCCTAATCATTATAGCAGTGTATGCTCAGTCTGCAACTGGATTTATTTCACTGTAGCCAGAGGTCTGGCGTTGCTGACGGTCGTTTTTCCACCTGCTGTATTTCTCCTCTTAGTTCATAAAGAAGATGATTGTTATGCAAAGTGTGGAGCAACACACAGCATCCAATTTAAAGTAGCACACTTTGGATTTGAGTTTTTATTTGGATTACTGCCAAGAAAGCAAACTTTGGTGAGGGAGACGACCTGGACAGTTCTGTGGAAATTCTTCTTAGAAGAGATGATAAAAATAAATTGGCTTTCCTGTTGCTAATTGTATATAAAGGCCCTTATCCAGTATCTCAATTTTAATATTCTCCAGGCTGAAGGCAAATACTAATGGTCTCCGCCTTTGTGTGAAAGAAAGCAGTACTGCTACCCTTCCAGGTACTAAATGTTTATGAGTCAGGCACCCACCCTTCAAAGGTCAGGAGGTAATAGTAAGTTAAAAATTAGTAAACTAATCAACATATGTACACATTTTCATTTTCATGTTTAATTGCTTTCTCTGTGATGAGCCTTTAAGATAAATTTAGGTCACACTTCTGAGTCACATTTCTAGTCCTACATGTAGGGTTCTCAAGATATCATATCACTTCAGGGTCTGGGTTTTGATGATAAACTCTATATATAATGAAACATCATGGGAACTGGAAGCACAGCAAGGGCATAATAAGGATTTATAAGGCAGCACAAGGTTCTTAAGGTGTCCATGACTGACGTGATTGTTATGTGCATATATTTGTGCATGTATTTATAAGACACAAATGACTGAAATCATAGATAAAGAAATTAATATATCATGATTTTAGGTAAGTAGTGCATGAACACTTTTGACTTGTTAATTACCAAAGTACTGCCCATAGCAGAAAACTGTTGTCCTGTTTCTGTGTCATATTTTTGTGTTTTTCTTGGGATGAATTAGGAACATGAGTCTGGTATCCAGCTTGGGGCGGGGGGTCCTTACCTCACAGAGAATATTTCCAACAAAGCACAAGACCTTCCAGGTGACAAAAAATGACAAAAAAAAAGATTCTTTTTTTCAGAAACCACCCCTTTTTACCCTTTGACATCAGTAAAAGCAAAAGTGTTTTAATAGTTAAACTCAGAATAGACAGAGAGCACTCTTGGAAATGACTAGCCATAAATATGGAGGGCCTGAGCTGTGATTTCATCCCTTCCCCCTAAATTATTACACATGTTGAAGTATAATGCATGAGTGTTATTACACTGCAGCTGTGGGATGTTAGAGAATAGGTTTTAGAGCTCTGTAGGAGCCAGTTTAAATAAGTCTGAAGTGAAGCATAGTATTCTGCTCGCTCTCTCAACTGTACTTTGTAAGTAGTATAACTCTTTGTATAACTATTTGATAGAAAGTCTTCAAGAAATCTACATTTATTTCTTATATTTGCAACCTGTAGGATCTGATACAAGGGAACTGAGGACCCTTGTATCTAGAGTGATGATTCTGGAGTGAACATCCAGAATCATCAAATCCAGCCCAGTTTTATCCTTTTTTTTTTTTTTTTTGCAAATACCTTTATCATATAATCCTCTTTTTAAATCAAATTAATTAAACAATATCTTAAAAAATAGGTGTTTCTTTTTCCCTTTTTGCTTCTGTTACACAGGTTGGAAAATTGCTCTAGAATTTCACTTCCTAATAGAAACTTTCTCCTCATTTCAGTGTATCTGTATTCATGGACAGTTTCTAAGCTTTGGAGCTTATACAGTATTTAAGAGAGTACTCTAGCTTTACTGTTCTTCATGCTTCTTGGTGTTTATCTCTGTCTCTTCTTCCTTCCTTCCTGCTTCCTGTGTAAGGGTAGCTGCATTCCCTCCTGTCCTTCATTTTCTAAACTAAATAAGCCAAGCTCTTGTAATCTCTCTTGCATGATAATCTCCTAATTCCCCACCATTTCTACAACTTCTCTCAGTATTTGTTCCAATTTGATTTTCAGAATATCAGTGACCAGGGTTACGAACATTTTTCCAGGTGATGTGTCACCATTACCTTGTACAGTGGCATCAAGATTCCCTGTTTCTAATGGAAACATCTCACGTGGCTCATTTTTCACCTTGCCCTTTTTTGCAGCCAGATTACAAAGGATCAGTCAGCCTGTGATCAACTAACACATGAAGATAGTTCTCTCCAAAATAAGTTTTGCGTTTGAGTAGCATTTTATAGTAGATATTTTCATTCCTAGTCTGTATGTCTGTGCTTTCAAAAAAGCTTCTTTTTAATTTTTTCTGTTTCTCTCTTACTCTACTCTGTTTTCTTCTTTCCAGCTCATAATGTCAAGTTGCTTCTTTGGTGGTCACAGGAGAACTGATGTAACTGATTTTAGGATAAGCCTTTGAGCAGAACTGCTTTGTTCTCACAGTGCAAAGATCAAATCAACTCAAGCCGGACAAATCAACTCAAATATAAGAAACCTTGTACAAAAATCTGGATTCTGATTTTAGTGTATAGTGATGACACTCAGCTGTAGGATGTGTCCAGGATCAGTTACAAATCACAGGAGTGCAGGATGTTTGCTCCTCTGTCTGTTGGAAAAATAGGTTTCCTGCTAGTTTAGCCTACATATTAAACTCATTCACAACCAGCAAACCTCTCTGGAGCATGGCTTCATTTACAACAAATATACTGAATCTTTAAGTCACTGTGTACATGTTTCTTCTCTCTTTAAAGTGTGCTCACACCAATACAGTAGTGAAACCGGCATGCTAACATCTCCGAACTATCCCAATAACTACCCTGTCCGGACAGAGTGCATATACGGCATCACAGTGGGAATGAACAGACAAATTGTGCTGCGCTTCACTGACTTCACCTTGGAGGGGAATAAACGCTGTACAGAAGATTATGTAGAAATCAGGCAAGCCTAATTATTTCTCTTGTCCTTATTACTGATAATCACGGAAGTTGGCCAAATCCACTTAGGCATGTGCAGAAGCTGTAGTTTTTAACTATACCGCTGTGCTGGCAACGTGGGCAAAGGGCTTTCTAGAGAACGTTAAATGCCACCTTTTCCTGCTGCCGTTCTGTTCCTTTGTCCCGTTTCCTACCTGGCAAATTGCAGCTCTCGGAGCAAGTGCATTCTGTGTAGACAAAAAAATGCCTTCCAGTGTCCTAGCTCTGATTGTGTTCCTTAGCGCAGACACAGAGAGTTTGCTCGCTTCGTGACATATTCTTTGTGTTTTATGTCAATTGTCTTTCAACAGCAGCTCTTCTGTGATGCAGCACTAGGAAGATGTGAATAATCTGTGATATTTGCCTATGCTGGCATCATCATTAAATTTAGGAAATGGCATGGTGATCTGCAGTAAATTTTACAGGAGAGAGACAAATACAAGGGGCAGAAAACTGTTTGCAGGAAGACTAGGTGCATGCTTACAATATAGCCATGCCAGTATGCTTCCTTTCTGTGGTGTGTCGCTGCATGGGATCTGCGCTTTGGAGTGCCAGTGAGCCCATTTTTTTCTCCTCGTGAACCAGCTCTCCAGCTGAACCATATCTCCAGAACTACTGTGTGGTTTCTGTCTCCGAGTGTACCATGAGTTTCCAGGACCTCTATGAGTGCGATGATAAAACATGGTATGGTGTTATCCTGAACATCGTACCTGATATTATGTATGGTTTATTCCTCTTTGAGGTCCCTCTTAGAGCTTGGTACTGTTTTTTAGAAAAAAACAAAAATCTTTTGCTGAAGTTGAAG